CCTGCTCTTCTGCAATGGCCGTTTTGGCAGCCGCCACGGCTGGTGGTGTAAACATGGCCATGGCCGCCACAACAGCTGGCACCGATTGTGGCGGTGAGGTGACCTGAGTCTGGGCCGCAGCCGGTGAATGGGCAGGTGTGGGAGGACAGGGCATAATTAGCGGCGAAGTTGGCACGGAGGATATACGATGACCATTAATGTCTAGTTTACAACATTGGGCGCCACCACCACCCAGGTTGGAGGATGTGGCCGAAACACAACGACTCTGGCAACAGGTCTTGTGGACATAGCAACCACCACTGCCACCCCCATTACTCGAGGAGGAATTACTCGAACTGGAATTTGAATTTTGATGTTGTTTTTGATAGTTCAGCTGTTGCTGATGTTGCTCTGGTTTGGGTATAAAGATGACGGAGGCAAAACTATCTTCAGACTCTATACTGGTATCCGATTGTAGGCTACTATCCTTGGACGAATCAGAACCAGATTCTCGGGAATGCCTACGGGCCTTCTCCTCACTACTCTCGGCGTTACATTGTGAACAACCCTGATGATAGGTTTGACAGTAGCAGGCGGTGGCGGCACATTCCAAACTTTTACAAATGGTTACCGGTCCGGCAAATTTATTGGTCGTTGGAGCGGTATTTTGGCGATGCAACAGATGATGTAAATGGGTCTGGAAATTACTAACTAAGGGGGAGTTCGGCTGCGGCTGCTGATAATGTTGCTGTTGCTGCTGATGGTGGTGATGATGATGGTGTTCATGGGTACACATGGCTGCCTTAGAGGCCTTAACATTACTTGGACTGGGGCCATTTGCCATTCCGCTGCCACTCTCCTCCGCATTATTCGCCGTCTTGAGATTCTGCATGATTTTTGTAATACCCGTTTTGGTTACCCTCTCCAAGCTACCCGTTGAACTTTTAATTTTACTTGTGAAGCCTTCTCGTATAACCTGCAGCCTCTTCGAAAAGAGAGCGGAACGACACAGAAATGCCTCATTCAGCGACATTTGTTTTTGTATTCGTTTGCGCACCCTTTCCTTTTCCCTTATCCGATTACCCGCCATCAACTCCTCATTCAGCGAACTTTGTTTTCTCATTTGTCTCGTGGTCAAATGACCCGAATCCGAACGATGACCCGCCTTGGGAGAATATAGCGTATTGGTCACACCATTTGTTGTCACATTGTATTGACTCAACATATGGAAAGGGGTATCTGGCAGTTGATAATCTTCATCGCATAGCGATTGTTTTTGTTTGATAAGTTTAGGACGGCGACTGAGATTTGTTGTGGCTGCTGATGCGGAGCTGGAGGTTAAAAGAGTTGTTGTATTGGGCGAAGTACTGGCATGATTGATGGGTGAATGGCCATTGGAGTGCCCACTGGAATTGGGGGAACCCGAGGACGAGGGAACTCCATATTGTGGAGCATCGAGGAATTGCAGATTTTTATTACCACTCTCTTGGCAAGGGACCAGAGGACCACCCAGACTAGGTACACTTGAACGTGAGCGTACAATTTGTCGTGGTGGTGGATTGAGTATACTACCCAGACTGCGTGATTTAAGACCCGCCGATAGTGGTGGATCGGTGAAATCTTCAAAATCTTCCAAACGTCTCAGTTCGATGGGCAGATCTTTGGCATCTTCATAGTCCATGCTGCTGTCGTTTTTGGTATCTTTGGAGGTCCACGATTCCAAGAACCAGGCATGTTTGCGGCCGCCGGCTAGTTTCTGGAAGACCCAAAAGAAAGTCATACTTCCATTTCAATTCCAGTTATATCCATGACTTACCTGTATTGCCCTTCTCACAAAACTATAACACGATTCGCCTGGTGATGAGGAAGATAAGCTCGAACTATCACCATCTCCTGCCGAACGACTTGAATTTGTTGAATCCTCTGTGTAGGCATGATAGGGTGGCAAGAAATCCTCATCATCTTCTTCATCGGAATAGTTAAAATTACGATTTTTTGGTGGTTGCCATGGTATTAGGACATCCTGCGATTCAAAACGTCGATGTCGTTGTTCCAGTGCCCAAACGGTTATTACAACCCGACCACCAATTCGTAAAATGCGTGCCAATTCGCGGAGGGCATTAACTCGCCGCTCGGTGGTGGCGAAATGATGCACCACGGCAATGGATAGCACCGCATCGAATGATTCATCGCGAAAAGGCAATTCGAGATTATCGCAAAGGGCAACCTGAAATGAGAGAGTGGGAAAAATGTTTTATTATATGTGTGACATATTAACAAAATAAAAACACGATATTTGTATTGAATAGTGATTCTTGGTTCGATGGGAACTCACTTTATTTTAAGTTCTTCCTAACTCTAGACCTTAACATAACAAATTATAATTTGACATCGAGATTAAACAATTGTCAACTAATACGAAGAGCAAGGAAGGGAAAACACCAGTTTTTCAGGATTAATGACAACAATTTGGACCCTTTCCTAATGTGAAATGGAAGAGAGGTTCGAAAAATTAATTTTGACATTAAATTCATCGAAGTTTTGGAATTTTCCTACAGCAGCAAATAAGAAATCAATATTATGCAAGTAATCAATGTTGGGAAATACGCATATGTGGTTATTATGAGTTAGACTTGGGCAATAGCGTTTCTAAAGGGGTTCGATTTTTTCGGTTAGTTCCGCAAATAAACTAAGTGATTAATTTATTACCACAGTTCCTTTCATGGTTAATGGTTCAGTTAATTCGGTCAATGAACGGGAATCAGATGAATAATTCTATCGAAAGGTATTTGGGGAACGAGAGCAAAAACTAACGACTGGAATAAATAGAAAGTGTAGTTCTATTGTTCATTGGTACACGCCAGTAATTTCGGTGAATATCAAGATGAACGATTGTCTCAAAAAGTACTTGGGAAACAGTGGTAAATATGAACGACTGGAGCAAAAGAACTAGGTAATGAAATTGCAAAGTTGACAATGAAATCAGCGGAGTTTTGAAGTAGAATGAACTACCTTGGAATCACCCTGCATGATTTCACTTCTACCTAGAAGAACATACGACGAAGGTAAGGAGGACTGCTTCGTATGCTAATGATGTGCTATTGAGAATGCGATCACCACTATGAAAACGGTGGCAGTGAATTCATCGGATTTTTTAAAAAACGAACAATCTTGAAATCATCCTGCACGATGTATAGCTGTCCAATACTAATATGCTAATATTATGCTGATTAATGATACGAGCACAAGAGTTGGAAACTATTCATAATGAAGTGCTTCAGGAACGAGACTACACAAGAAAGAAGACTACATAGATAGATCTATACATAGAAATACTTGAAAAAACCAGCAAGGAAAGTAGTAAAGTCGTACTGGACCGACTATATGATACCCTTCACCACTTTGGGTATATTCTACATATGTACCCTAACAGACGTCGCCTTTTCAAAGGAACATATGCATGAAATTGAACGAACTTAAATCTAAATCTACCCTATTCCAAATTTCGTGCAAATCCAAAGATATATAGGGACTTTGAAGCCCCAATTACCTTAAATCGGACGAAAATATATATGGGTGCTTTATATAAATCTGACCAGATTTTCACGAAATTTGGCACACGTCATTCTAGACTCAACTGAGAAAGCCATGCACAATTTCGTGCAAATCGAAAAATATTTAGGGACTTTGGTGCATCATTTACATTAAATCGGCGAAACTATATATGTGAGCTATATCTAAATCTGAACCGATTTTCATGAAACTTAACACACATCATTCTAGGCTTAATTCAGTACCCTGTGCCAAATTTCGTGTAAATCGAAACATATTTAAGGACTTTGGTGCACCATTTAACATAAATCGGACGAAAATATATATGTGAGCAATATCTAAATCTGAACCTACTGTCACGAAAGTTAGCACACATCATTGTAGGCTTAATTCAGTACGCTATGCCTAGGGTTTGGGGACGGGAATTCCCGTTCGGGTATTCCCGGGATTTCCCGATAGTATTTCCCGGGAAAACGGGAAATGGTATTTCTAAATAAATATTAATACGGAATTAAAAATTTCCATGTTTAAGGCATAAATAGAATGGATCCGTTGATCCACCCGTTTTATTATTTGTTATCGATAATACAACAACTACAAGGGGAGATTTTAATGTGTGTATAAGTGGAAGATGCTCATTTTAAAACCAATTTATATAATAGACGGCTTCGAAATTCGGAAAATGATTGAAGAAAAACTGCTGGAATTATGTTTTGAAACCCACGTTGTAGCAACTGTTTATGATAGGGCGAACGTCATGAGAAAATTTATTCTGAATGTCCTTTTGAAGGGTTATTTTGCTAGAATTATGCCATAAATTTAAATTATTGTTGATGCTGTCTTGAAAACATTGTAAGATCAACAAACTTCCATCAATTCCACAGATATTACAAAAAGAAATAAGTGACCGACGTGACTTCAAATATATATCTAAACTAAAGTTTTTAAGAGACCCAGATAGTTTGGGGAATACGGATGTGTCAAAAAAGACGCAAAGGTGCCTACAGAAGATATTTAGGTTTTCAATGAAGTCGAATCGGTCATCTAGTAGTGATGAAGATACTCCAAAGGTATACATGTTTTGAATTTAAACTAAAATGGTTGCAAAGTCAAGCTCTATAAGATCAAAACCTTGTAACAGTAGTTTTTCTAAGAAATAATCTTTATATAAAGTGAGTAAAATATTTAGGGACTTTGGTGTCCCATTTACCGTAACTCGGACAAAAATATATATGTGATCTATATCTAAATCTGAACCGATTTTCCCAATTTCAATAAGGTTCGTCCTTGGGCCAAATAAATGAGCTCTACAAATTTCATGCAATTGGAATTATAAATGCGACCTGTACTTTGTATACAATTTAACATGGACAGACAGACGGAAGGACAGACATGCATAAATCGACTTAGAAAGTGATTCTATGTATATTTAGACCCTCTTTTATAATTTGTTGGAATTTCCGGGTAATTATTTTTTGTGATCCCCGAAGTTAGATCCGCTTAAAAATATATTTTCAGTGGATACAGATGCTTTGTGAATTATTTTATTCCTTAAGATACATATGTAATGTATATGTGTGGGCAAGCGAATCTTTAAAACTTAAAGCGATGAATCTAACTATTTCCTCATATCTATACCCTTAGGATAACGATGCAAATGTGTGTTTTTGTTTTAGGTCGGTGTATGAGTGTGCAACTGAGACTATGTTCACACTGGCCCTCTATGATATTTTTCACATACTTTTTTTTTAGCTACAACTTCTGTTGATCTGTTGCCACGGCTTGTTCTTCCTCTCCACATATATGGTGTGATATGTGTGATAGTTATTGTACATGTCGGTGTTGTTGTTATTGGTATCTGCCTTCCGGTATGTTGTTTGACAAAAAAAGTCCCTAAAGGCCCATATGGGTATGGGACACTATCGTATAACTACATTTAACTACAGGGCATCCGTTTCCAGTCGTTGAGAATGCAACAAAAGAAAAAAAAATACAAAACCTTGTTGCTTTTTCTTCACTTTGCTGCAAATGCATTGCAAAAACAAAGTTGTTGTTGCTTTTCTGTTTTGGGCCTGAGAATGTTCCATTTGTTGGTGGTGCCTACGGGTAAAGTGTAATATGGTCTCTTGCGCCCTGCTGCAAAAGCATTGAAGTCCAAAAGAATTTCTATGGCATACACTCAAAAATTGTATGCCACATTGCTGCAAGGAACTTCCTAGTTCTCAACACACATACATGCATACACTCGTATGCCTGCCTACATGTGTGTGTGTGTGAGTGTGACCATGCAACAGACCATTCGAATTCTTCCTTCATTTTTTGTTAGAATTTATGCAGTTGCCAGTTTATTGAGTCTCTTCTTTTTGATTCTTTATATTGTTGTTGTATTTTTTTCTTTTTTTAGAAATGAAAGAGAAATAGTTTTTGGATCAATAGACCAAAAAAGCGGGCTTTGATAATGGGTTAGTGTGGACGGGTGAGTTCGGATGCTGGTATTTGTCAGGCATCTCCTAACGATATGAGTGGCTTAGTTCTGTGCCTTAGTAAAGAGTTTGTATATATATATCATCCTATACTTACACACATATGTGTGTGTGTGGGATAGTTGAGCATGTGGGTGCTGCTGTTCGAAATTCAATTGACGCCTGAACTTTAATTAAACTTTTGGCAAATTGTCAAATAATGCCAATTGAAAATTGATATTTCAATCCTCAACGACTATCAATGACAAAAAGGCATACAATATTATCCGTTTTGCACACGGACACACACATGCCTACATATTCACGAAATGGGATAAATGGAAGTGTATATCAAATACTAAATGCATTTTTAAAATGTGATCTCGTAAAGAAAAATGAAAGGGAAAACGGGAGGGATTTTTTATGTGAAAAATCTGACAGAATATTTCCTAAACGGGATGGTAGTTTTTAAAGAAGAAGTTTTGAAATAAAAAAATCCACGCCTGTGGTATGACCTCTAGAAAACAATTTAAAAAAAAATCCACGTTTATGGTGTGGCCTCTTGAAAATAATGTTAAACCAGTAAGGAAAGTAGTAAATTCGGACTGGGCCAACTATATGATACCCTTCACCACTTTGGGTATATTCAACATATGTCTCCTAGCAGACTCCGCCTTTTCGAAAAAAAACATTGACATAATATATCTAAATCTGAACCGATTTCCCGAAACTTACCACACATAATTTTAGACTCAATTTAGTATGCTATAACTATTCGGGCAAATCGAAGGATATATAGAAACTTTGGTGCACCATTTACATAAAATAGGACAAATATATATATATATAAGCTATATCTAAATCTGAACCGATTTTCACGAAACTTAACACATACCACTCTTGGCTTCATTCAGTACGCTGTGGCAAATTTCGTGGAAATCGAAGGATATATAGGGACTTTAGTGCACCATTTACATAATATCGGGTGAAAATATATATGAGAGCTATATTTAAATCTGAACCGATTTTTATGAAACTTAACACACATCATCCTAGGCTTTATTCAGTGCGCTATGCCAAATATCGTGCAAATCAAATGATATATAGGCACTTTGGTGCACTATTTACCTAAAATCGGACGAAAATATATATGGAAGCTATATCTTAATCTGGACCGTTTTTCAGTAAACTTGACATACATCATTCTAGACCT